ATGCTGAAAATGTGCTGGAGACATTTTCACCCTGTGAGTTAAAAGTTAATTTCCTTTATAAAGAGCAGGAAATAACCTTAGGAGATCTGAACATGAAATTGGTGTTGTTAAAGCTGATCACTAAATAAACATTTGACTGTCCTGTGTATTTATTCAATTCTATACATACCGACAAACAAAAATTTTGCACTGGTTTCTGACTGATTTTATATTAAAACCTCCACCCCGCCATCCCACCATGACCAATACCTCTGCAATGTCACCCAAAGCTAAAAAAGATGCTCAAATATGGGTTCATTATTCTCCATCATCCACATGCCAGCTGACTGAGCGAAGCAATCAGATGACAATTTAGTTGAGGAGGCTTCCCTCACAAAAAAGCATCCAGCTATTTTGAAATAATCAACAAATGTGTTGAATTATGAAATGCACAGAGCTAACTTAGAGGTGCCGGAGATGAAAAATTAGATAACTGAGCAGAGCCGATTGTTTCATGTCTTTACAGAATCGTTAGGCGACGACAACTTCATGCAAAAGTCACATATCCAAGTAAAGTTCACCGACAGATAAGAGATGCAAAGTCAAACGAAGACATTATAGAGAGTCTGACTGATGATTTACAAGTTAATCTGTCATAAAAACACAGCTGAAGCACAGTGGGATTCTTTTTAAATGACATGTTTAAGAAGAAAAAGTTGTTGTATGATACTGGATTCCATTTAGAAACAGAGTTTCAAACAGTTTCTGCCTGAAAATCAATCAAATCACTACTCATCCCTTTCTTCATAATCAGAGACTTTTCTCTGTTTTCTATTTGAATGTTAATATCTCTTCAATGGTTTCGGAGCTCTGTGATAACATTGTGTAACAGAAGACTCAAGGCAAGATAAAGATTCCTTGGAGGAAAAAAAAATCCCTCTGCCAGGGTCGACATTCAGTAAACACCTGTCTTAACAAACTGACTAAAGCTCCGCTTTATTGCACAATGTCCCTCTTTTCACGCGCCACTCCATGCGGAGAATTCAAGACTATCAAGCCAAACTAGAAATACAGGACAAATACAAGACAAACCACCCATTCTTCTTCAATCTTTCCTTTAAATTGAACTAACAGCCTTGCATTTGGTCATATAAATCAGAGGTGTAATTGTTAGTTGTTCAGTTTTTACATAACCAGCAGCTTTTTTGACTGTACAAAACTCTGACAATGTCTATAATACGGGAAAAAAAGCACGTGCACTGACTGTGCCTTGTCTCAGAGGAGAGCGTGATCTTTAGAAAGAGGCATCTTCACCTGTGCAGGTCAAGCTCCAGGTAGGGGAAGATGAGCTTCTCCTTAATGAGCTCCCAGATCACCCGGGTCATCTCATCTCCCTGCATCTCCACCACGGAGCCGGCCTTGATCTTCTGGGACATCCTGGAGCTTTGAATGCAGACACCGACTGTGAGGAAGATAAGGAAGAGGAAAAACGACAAGAAAGCAGAGATATCAGCTCCAATGAAAAAGTCGAGCAGAGACTAAAGTGAGGGCTCTTCTCGGTAACAAGGTTTGCTCTCCATGAATGAAGCCATTCACAACTTAGGGAAAGCAATGACTCGGCGTTTAAAATGATCTTCCAGGTTAACCCCATAATAATCCTCTTAAATGGAAAATCTATTAAAGTGAACCATGATGCACCCATGTACCATAAGCCTATAACTTATAGTAAATTAGTTCAAACATAGACCAAGTCTGGGTAAATACATAGATTGATAAGATAGATAAATAAATAATATATCTAATTGAAAAAATCTTTTGGGTTTTATCGTAGTTTATGGCATTTGACGTTCGCAGTAAAACACACCCTAGTGTTTAACTGTAGTTATAACACGTGACAACTAAATGACATATGCCCCCGTTTTAAACATTACACAATGTTCCCAAAGCCTCCGGGTAGTTCGATTGAGACGGGATCGGAGGCTGATCGGACAGAGATCCAAAAGCCAAACGGGAAAAAAAGCCGAACGACACAAACGATACGATAACTTGACGAACGTCAGGCACCTCCAGCTGTAAAATATCCCCCGTGAAGGAAAAGCATGAAACCAGGAAGCGGACTTTCAGGGTTCATCGGGGCCTGAAAGCCCACTTTGAGCTCGCTACACACGACCCCCCCAAATGTGGCACTGGAATGAATTCTGCTGTCAAACACAAATGCAACAAAACAATAACGTTTTCCTCACGTTATTGTTTTTTTATTTATGTTTACATATCTGCAGGTTTCTAACCCAAACGACGCACAGGCTCTAACAGAAAACATAAAAAAAAGATGTGAATCGAAATTAGGGTTGGGTGCATTTTCACTGTTCCAAACGTATTTATCTCATCCTGCACAACAGAATAAATAAAAGAAATACCCTACCTTTTAAATGAACGATCGAATACACAATTAAATACGAGTTGAGGAGGCGGAGTGATGTCCTGTTGGAAATGACAGCAGATCAGATCAGACTGGTACGGGAGCCGCCTTCCACCTCCCAATTTCACTGACAAGATTTTAGACCAATCAGAAAAGAGGGGAGAAACTCTCTGCCAATAAGAAACAACTACGCAATAAACGGGATGAATATGATTCTCTGATTGGAGGGATGGACCATTTGCTGTTTGGCCGCGCCCACTAACCAGCTGTAGCTATAGACATAAATACGTACTGTATACGTAGACGCCAGGATGTGGTTATTATGGACACAGATTACATGTTAAATTTAAATATTTCAGTATTTATATTACAGTAAAAGAGTTACAGGCTTTAGTAGCTGAAAACACTCAGTATTAAAAGTACAGACGCTGGTTTGGTGCTTCCTTATATCCTAAACATCAGGAGTAAAAGTGAATAATCATCACTTTAAAAGTTACGTAGGATTTTTTGTGCCTATTTATTTCCAGATATATTAGTGTGAGTGTGAATGGGTGAATAAGGTGCATTAACTTAAAGCACTTTGTAGAAAGGCGCTTTATGGAGTTCAGTCCGTTTTATTTTGTAAGTTTACCGCCAGTTCTGCCATATCCAAGATGGCGGACTCCTTGACGTATCTGTGCAACGGAAGAAAAGGTCTCAACGCGGCGTCTACGTATAAATGTCTATGGCTGTAGCCACTGGCAGAGCTGAAACGTCATTCACCCGGAAGAGGCTACGTCTATTTTTTTTTTTAAATGAGAGGAAAGCAACGTTACAAACGTCTAAGGTAATAAGGAGAATAGAAGTAAGTTCATATGTAAAAATCTGTATAGAACATCTATATAAACAAACGTAATGGGAATAAATGATCAAATCCATCAAACCCATTT